CTTTCCCTTACATTGTTTTGCTTCCCAGTGAGAGGTAGAATTTTTTTTTCTCTTAAACTTTTTATTACAGAAATCCTCAGACATATACAGAAGTAGAGAGAACAGTATAAAGAATCTCAACATATTCATCACTTAGCTTCAGTAGTTATCAACTTCTTGCCTCATTTTACTCATATAGTTCAAAATATATGTAACTAGCATATTTTTTTAACACTTTAAACATATATATATCCATTGTATACAGTGACTCCTATGTGTCATCAACGACCCAGTCCCACTTTCAAATTTTCCCACTTTGTCTCAAAATATATTGTTTAATAGTGTTTTGAATCAAGATCCAAATAGTGTCCCTGTATTGTATTTTTTAATAAAAAAATTCATCTCTTAAACTTCTCTTAATCTACAACAGTACTATTCCCCTCACCCAATTATTTTTTTTTTAACAACAAAAATATGTTTTATTTAACCCAATATATTCAAAATATGTCAGCATATAATTAATGTGAAAATGACTGAAATTTTTTACATTCTTTTTTATGTGCTAGGTCTTCAAACTCCAACGTGTATTGACACTGACTACACATCTCAATTTAGACTAGTGCCATTTTAAGTGCTCAGTATCCAAATGTGGTTTCCCTACTGGGCCTGTGCTAAATCAAACCTTACTTGTCACCCCTACATGACAAACCTCATTGCTGGATCCCAATAACTGCACATATTTGAGGGACTCCTCACCCAATTTTTTAATGTTCTTTATTTCTTGAAACAATGGTCATTTGTCTGCCAAGTTTTCTACATTCTAAATTTGGCTGATTGCATCCTTGAGGTGTCCCTTTAACTTGTTCCTCTGTCCTCCGTTTTTCCTGGAAACTTGTAGTTCTAGAGGCTGGATCAGGTCAAGTCAATTTTCCTTTGGCAAGAATACTTTGTGGGGGATGTGTACTTCCTATACCATCACATCAGCAAACATGTATTAAATTTCCCCCTTAATAGTGGTATTAAGATTGTTCAGTAGGTTTGTGTTGTCATCCTGATCAGTCTATTATAATGTTCTTCACTATGATATTGTGATTTTTAGTAAATATATATTTGGTCTTTGTCCAGTTTCTGGCACAGAGCTCCTGAAACCCTTGAAATTTCCTAAGTGATGAGTGCTATAAAGATGTATGTCTTTTTTTATGTTAATGAGAGATGACTTTTGGAACTAGCTAAGGATGGGAGCTGGTTGCCAGGAGAACCAACCATGTGATTAGAGGGTTCCATCTCCCCCTGACCTTTTTGGAGGGGAGAGTGCTGGAGGTTGGATTAGTCCTCAATTGCCAGTGATTTAATCAATCGTGCCTATGTAATGTGGCCTCCATTAGAACCCAAAAGACTGGGGTTTGGAGAGCTTCTGGGTTGGTGAACACATGGAGATTAGGGAGAGTGGCGTGCTTGGAGAGGCCCTGGAAGCTCTGAGCCCTTTCCGCATACCTTACTCTATGCATTTCTTTTAACTAGCTGTTCTTGAACTACATCATTTTTTAGTAAACTGATGATCTAGTAAGTAAAGTGTTTCTTTGAGTTCTGTGACCCACTCTTGCAAGTTAATTGAACCCAACCTCTGATTTATAGCCAGTTGGTCAGAAGTACAGATGACAGCCTTGACTTAGAACTGGTAAGGGTTGGGGTGGGGGGCAGTCTTGTAGGACTGAACCCTTACTTAATCTGTGGGATCTGATATTATCTCCAAGTAGATGGTGTCAGAATTGAGTTGAATTGTAGGATACCAGCTGGTATCAGAGAATTGCTTTGTGGTGTGGGCACCCTCCACCCCCACCCCATGTTGGAATTTGGTGCAGAATTGTGTACTCACTAACTTTTCACCTAATGGTTTAGCATTGAGTGAATTCTTGAGTTAGTATTAATTTGTTTCTTCCTGTTTCCTAGGAATACATACCTGTTTTGTATGCAAGCAGAGTGGGGAAGATGTTAAAAGGTGCCTTCTGCCCTTATGTGGAAAGTTTTACCATGAAGAATGTGTCCAGAAATATCCACCCACTGTCTTGCAGAACAAGGGCTTCCGGTGTTCCCTCCACATATGTATAACCTGCCATGCTGCTAATCCAGCCAGTGTTTCTGCATCTAAAGGTATGGGTTTCTTGTGTAGACCAATCTAATTATAGAACCTCAGTCTCATTGGCAATGGATGTTTCAGATGCTATCTGGCATATCTCTTCATAGCCTCTAGCTTTTGTCAGAGTACCAGCATTTTATGTGAGAGATAAGAGAGTAATGGACAAATTTAGCAGTCACCACATTTTTACATGTGCTTTATGGAACTCCCAGCATTATGTGGTAGTTTTAAATATTTGGAATTCATGTGACATTTAGTTTGAAAAGGTGTTCTGCTGGACATCTTGTTTTGTTTTGTTCTGTTCTGTGCCACGCCGTGTGGTTTGTGCGATCTTAGTTCTCCAAACAGGGATTGAACCCGCGCCCTCTGCAGTGAAAGCACAGCATCCTAACCACTGGACCGCCAGGAACTTTCCTCTGCTGGATGTCTTCCTTCATCAGAATAAAGTGTATTCTTCTTCTGTGGGCCCTTATATGTATGGTTATCAGATGTGATATCATTCAGACATGCATATAGGGCAGAATTGAGGTTTTTGTTTTGTGCTGATTTGCTTTATTTTTTAAAATGGAAATTCCTATCCAGAAAATTTTTTCCTGCTTCATGGTTAGCTTGAGAGCTGAGGTTTCCAAAACTATTATGTGGGTGCAGATAAACTCAAGTTTCTAAATCCATTCCCAGTGGGAAAACAATCATTTCTTTCTTTTTTTGTTTTTTAAATAAATTTATTGATTTTTTTTTTTTTTTTTTTTTTTGGATGCATTGGGTCTTTGTTGCTGCGTGCAGGCTTTCTCTAGTTGCTGCGAGCGGGGGCTACTCTTCCTTGCGGTGCGCAGGCTTCTCATTGCAGTGGCTTCTCTTGTGGAGCACGGGGTGTAGGCGCGTGGGCTAGGTAGTTGTGGCTCACGGGCTCTCGAGTGCAGGCTCAGTAGTTGTGTGCAGGGGCTTAGTTGCTCCGCAGCATGTGGGATCTTTCCGGACCAGAGTTCGAACCCGTGTCCCCTGCATTGGCAGGCGGATTCTATCTATCTATTTCTGCGTTGGGTCTTTGTTGCTGCGTGTGGGCTTTCTCTAGTTGTGGCGAGCAGGCGCTGCTCTTCATTGTGGTGCGAGGGCTTCTCGTTGCGGTGACTTCTCTCACTGTGGAGCACAGGCTCTAGGCGCACGCAAGGCTTCAGTAGTTGTGGCACGCAGGCTCAGTAGTTGTGGCACGTGGGCTCTAGAGAGCAGGCTCAGTAGTTGTGGCTCACAGGCTTAGTTGCTCTGCGGCAAGGGGGCTCTTCCCGGACCAAGGCTTGACCTCATGTCCCTTGCATTGGCAGGCGGATTCTTAACCACTGCGCCACTAGGGAAGCCCCAATCATTTCTTTCTGCTCAGTACTAGTGGGTCTCTTACTGATTTCTCTGAAAGCCAAATATTGTATCTCTACTATTAAATGCTTGTATGCCCAAAGAGCCCACTTCTCCCAAAGGGGATTTGGCAGGGAAAATGTGGCAGTGTTGACTTTTCTTTTAATCAGACTGGCGATATCTTCTGTAAGATGATTTCCTGGCACTATAGATCTTGTCAGTCTTAAGTGCAGTAACATGCTTGATTAAATTGCAGCTTAACCATCAGCTACCTTCTCCTTTTCAGCTGCTATTGTAGGTAGCATTGGGGTGGTTTGGTAGTGGTTTTTAGTTTGTAAAGTATGTTAGAGGATATATCTCATGGTGGGGTGGAGGTAGAGAGGTTCATTCATTCACCTAAAAGTCTTTAAGAATCACAGAGTACCAGCCAAGGAAAGCAAACATTAGTGTTTCTCCCATCTGGTCTTTTAATCTGATTGTACACACACACCAACCCCCACCCCCACCCCCACCGTTTCGTCTGCAGCTGATTCTGTTTTCCAGTCAGGACAGTGGTTTGAGTAGGGCTTATTCTTGTTGAGGTAGACTCACTTACTGTTGTGGGATCGGACTCCTTAAGGCCATTTATCATATAGTTCCCATCTGAGCTTTTCTTAGGGAATTGGGTGTTTAAGGTCTCTTGATCTAGTAGTGCTTCCATTTGTTTGTGGCATTTTCCCAGTGCTAGTAAATAAACTTGAATAACTCACATCGTTTTTATGTTTAATCCCTTTTTCTTTTGTCTCTCCCTGGTTTTTCTCTTATTTTTAGGTCGACTGATGCGCTGTGTCCGCTGCCCAGTGGCATACCATGCCAATGACTTTTGCCTGGCTGCTGGGTCAAAGATCCTTGCATCCAACAGCATCATCTGCCCTAATCACTTTACCCCCAGACGTGGCTGCAGAAATCATGAGCATGTTAATGTTAGCTGGTGTTTTGTATGCTCAGAAGGTAAGACATTACTTCTTGATGTATGAATAGTCTAAAAAGAGATGAATGCAATATTTTAATTGAAACAGAAGTATAGTTTTCTTCACATTGCCATTAGGAGAAATACTGGGAAGTGATGTCCTTAATTATTGATAACATAACAGTACAGTGGTTTTGTTCCCCAATAAAGAGGGTTTTATTTTTGTTATTTTGAATAATGACTTAATTTTAACAAAATGATAAACAATTGAAGCAACTTAAAGAAAAGAGAAAGAAAACAAAATTGTTCTTAGAAAATGGGGGAATGTGGTCAGATGGTACAAACTTCCAGTTATAAGATGAATAAATTTGGGGGATGTAATACACAGCATGGTGACTATCGTTAACAATACTGTATTGTATATTTGAAAGTTGCTGTGAGAGTAGATCTTCTAAGTTCTCTCTCTCACTCTCTCACTCAACACACACACACACACACACACACACCCCTTAAAATTTTAACTATGTGAGTTGTTGAATATGTTACCTAATCTTATTGTGGTGATCACTTCACAGTATATACACATATCAAGTACATATATATTGTACACTTTAAGTTTACACAATATTATATGTTAATTATATCTCAATAAAGCTGGGGGTAAAAGTAAAAAATAAACTGGAGGTAGGGCTTCCCTGGTGGCGCAGTGGTTGAGAGTCCGCCTGCCGATGCAGGGGACATGGGTTCGTGCCCCGGTCCAGGAAGATCCCACATGCCGCGGAGCGGCTGGGCCCGTGAGCCATGGCCGCTGAGCCTGTGCGTCCGGAGCCTGTGCTCCGCAACGGGAGAGGCCACAACAGTGAGAGGCCCGTGTATCACAAAAAAAAAATAAATAAACTGGAGGTAAAAAAATAAAATAAGAAAGAAATTTTTAAAACCTTAAATAACCCCAAGTCCTACATCAGAAAAAACCATTGCTTAATATTAAGTGATAATACTCCAGACATATGTGCATATAAGCAGATAGAAGGGGTAGATATCTGGATAGGGACAAGTCTAGAAGATGCTGTTATCAGGTAATTGTGTGTGGTTTTTCTAAAATCAATTTTATATTAGTTTAAAGGGAATAAACAAGGTGAAAGTAAAAGAATTTATGAACTTCTGTTAAATATTTTCTCACTGTAAGGGATAATAGTTCCTACAAGGTCTTCAGTGGAGGACAAATAAATTTTATGTCTTTATCTGTATCTCCCCCCTCTCCAACCCCTACTTAAAACATACTTCTAATTTAGAGCAAAGTCAGTATTATCCTTCTTAAACATTTCCTTTCCATTCCTCACAGCCTGATTTTTGCTATTTTGTTAAGTGGAGGATTTAGTACTCCACCAGTCTATTTACTGGGGTGCTTGTAGTTCTGAACTCCTTATTTAAATTTTTCTCTTGGTTGGCTGAACTTCTGAGAAACACCCACAGGTCCTACATTTGTCTGCTTGAGACTGTTCTTCATTTGCCTCTGTTCTAGAAGCACACATTGGGTTACTATAAGATTTTAGACTGCTTGTTCTTTTCCCAAAACTTTTGTGGACATTGCTCCCCTGTTTTCTAGTGTTGAGGGTGGCACCAGTTCTCTTATACAGTTTTTTCATTTCCTTTTCAAATTGACTAAATTTTGTTGATTAGTAATTTGGGGGAAACAATTTCCTTGACTTTTCTGTTTTTTAAGATCTACTTATTGGTGATGCAATTTCACAAAAATTTGGCTGGTTATGAACATTCTGAAGGACTAATTTTAAAAAGAGTCAACATGTGTAATTGAATTAGCATCCCTTTTGAGAAATTGGGATATACTAAATAGTGCTAAAGCCATAAAAGAAGTTTTGTGACTCCTTTATATGATTGAAAATGGTTAATAGGGACTTTTTTGTTGTTGTTGCTGTTGTTGCTCTTAAGATTTATGTAACATGACTAGAGTTTGCATCAGGACATAGTTGTAATCCTCAAACTAGTTCTAATATAGAATAAATAAAATAGAGTATTAAGTGCAATCATGTGGGTGGAATTTTGATATAGTTAGGGATGTTTAGGGATGTTTTAGTGCACAAAGTACTGTGCTGTTTTTGGTTTTAGATATGTTAGCTTTGTGATTCTCCTGTATCATACATTCTTTTTTGCTTTTATAATATCTGTTCCTTATAAAACTGTCGTGAACACTGCTGCCTGTTTATCATTATACCACCTGTCTTTTGTTTAGAAGAAAGTTAAAGACAATTTTGATATTTAATAGCATTTAAATACAACATTCTATAATTCTGCTCTTAGAATGAAAATAGATGTCTGGGAGGCTGAAATGTAGCTCTAAAAATTTTACATGTTTTGTGAAGATGGGGAGATGAAACAGTTTCAGCATTAGACTGTTTTTCATTCCATAGTGGAATGAGATGTTTTCAGAGTAGAGGTTCCTTTGTGTTGGCAGTCCTAATTTGTGGCATAATAATGGATACTCATAATGAAAACTTAGTCCCCAAGAAAACTTAGTAGCTGCAGCAGTGGCTCTCAGAATGTGATCTTTGGGGAGTGGAGAAGATCCAGAGACCCTTTCAGGAGCCTCCATGAGATCATAACTCTTTTCATAATAATACCAAGATGTTACTTGCTTTTTTCTTTGTTGACATTTGCACAGATGGTGCAAAGCCAATAGTGAGTAAAACTGCTAGCACCTTAGTGCAAATCAGGGTGATGGCTCTAAACTGTACAAGTAATAGCAGTCATTGAATTCTGTGTCACCACACACTTGCAGTAAAAACTTGGACGTCTCACATAACAATGTCCTCGATTTTAAAAAGTAAGTAAAATGTATTAAACCTCAACTGTCATGTGAACATTGTTTTAATATTCAGTGTAATAAAATGGGAAGTATACATAAAGCAGTTCTGTTGCATACTGGTGGTTATCTTAAGTTAAAGCACTCATGCAATTGAGTTGCAATCTGAACTGGCTGCCTTGTTCATGGAACACCATTTTTAGTCTTAAACATTACTAAAAATGTAAATCAACTATACTCCAATAAAAATAAATTAATTTTAAAAATTACTAAAAAACTATGGCTCTTCATACTTGGATATTTGTCAGACATTTCTTGAAAATGGATAAAAAGGAGCCTGTCAATTCAAGGGAAAAAAAACTGGCAAATTGTTGCCAATGATAAAATTTGAGTTCTTAAGTGAAAATTAGAATTTTTGAAAACTGTCATCTACCCACCCTGAGCTTAACTGCTTCCTAGTATTTACTGATGAAATCATGGGGATATTAATAAATGTGACATTTTAGTATTACATAATGAAATGGATCAACATTTGGAAGATTACCAGACTCAGCAAACCAGTATTTTCCACATGAACAATGCATGATGTTAAAAACCATGCATATGTAAAAGATCCATTCAAAGTACAAGACAGATTAAAGAATTTTAATGTAATAGTTACATTAGTAGCTATTAGTAACATATCAACAGTATATTGATACAGTTTCAGATTAGACACTGCAACTAAGGTTTACCCTGTGAAGTTTTAGTGTATAGTATCAAAGAATATGTAATTATTGAACAGGTTATTAAAATACGCCTTTTTCCACCTGTTTATCTGTGAGAGACCAGATTTTCTTCATATACATCAACCAGACAACATTTTACAACAGATTTAAGTAAAAATATTTGCAAATATGTTTGCAAAAAAATATGATCGTCACTGACACTGGTCAGAATGGCCATCATCGAAAAGTCTGCAAATAAGTGCTGAAGAGGGTGTGGAGAAAAGGGAACCCTCCTACACTGTTGGTAGGAATGTAAATTGGTGCAGCCACTATGGAGAACAGTATGGAGGTTCCTTAAAAAAACTAAAAATAGGGCTTCCCTGGTGGCACAGTGGTTGAGAGTCTGCCTGCCGATGCAGGGGACGCGGGTTCGTGCCCCGGTCCAGGAGGATCCCACGTGCCGCGGAGCGGCTGGGCCCATGAGCCATGGCCGCTGAGCCTGCGTGTCCGGAGCCTGTGCTCCACAGCTGGAGAGGCCAAGGCAGTGAGAGGCCTGTGTACTGCCAAAAAAAAAAAAAAAAAAAAAAAAAAATAACCTATTATTCACACAACCGACAGGTACCAGAAAGTGAGGCAAAAGATGTAGTCACTGCCCACAAAATTGAAGAGCTAGTTGGAGGTATTATAGAGATGGATGTTCAAACAGACTGTTGTAGTACAGTAAGATGTTTGTTAAAATGGAAGTGTGCACAATACAGCAGAAGCTAGTAGCTTTAAAAAAAAAAAAAAAACTAAAAGTTACCATATGATCCAGCAATCCCACTCTTGGGCACATGTCTAAAAAAGATGAAAATTCTAATTCAAAAAGATACATGCACCCCAGTGTTCATAGCACTATTTACAATAGCCAAGATATGGAAGCAACTTAAGTGTCCATCGACAGATGAATGGAGAAGGAAGATGTGTGTGTGCGTGTGTATATATGTATGTGTGTGTGTGTGTATATATATATATATATATACACACACACATATATACACACGCACACACACAATGGAATATTACTCAGCCATAAAAAAGAGTGAATAATGCCATTTGCAGCAACATGGATAGACCTAGAGATAGATTATCATACTAAGTGAAGTCAGTCAGTCAGAGAAAGACAAATATCATATGATATCACTAATATGGGGAGTCTAAAAAAATGATACAAATGAGCCTATTTACAAAACAGAAATAGACTCATAGACATAGAAAACAATCTTATGGTTACCAAAGGGAAAAGGGAGGGAAGGGATAAATTGGGATTTTTGGATTAACAGGTACACATATATGAAATAGATAAACAACAGGCTCCTACTGTATATCACAGGGAACTATATTCAGTATTTTGTAATAACCTGTAATGGAAAAGAATCTGAAAAAGAATACATATGTGTGTGTGTGTGTGTGTATGTATAAGTGAATCACTTTGCTGTACACCTGAAATACTCTAAATCAACTACACTTCAATTTAAAAGAAAGAACAAAAATAAAATGTAAAACACTGAGCTTATTAAAAAATGTTCATTTTGGAAAATATATTCATAAAAATGTGATTTATGTTAACATAATAGATTTATTGTTACTTTTAAATGAATTAATCAGTATTTTTAGCCCATAAAAACATAAGCTCGGGGCTTCCCTGGTGGCACAGTGATTGAGAGTCCGCCTGCTGATGCAGGGGACAAGGGTTCGTGCCCCGGTCCGGGAGGATCCCACGTGCCGCAGAGCGGCTGGGCCCATGAGCCATGGCCACTGAGCCTGCGTGTCCGGAGCCTGTGCTCCACAGCTGGAGAGGCCAAGGCAGTGAGAGGCCCGCGTACTGCAAAACAAAACAAAAAAACCCAAAAGCTCTCTGGCAATCTCCTTATTTTTCAAAACTATAAAGTGTTCGTGAGGCCAAAAAGCCTAAGAACTGTTGATCCCACTATCTAGGATTATCTTGCTGTTAGAAGACAAGGAAAGAGTAGAGTCTTGGGACATTTGTTTGTTCACGTATAGGAGAAAACTGAAGGTGGTTATCAGAGTGTTATGGTAGTAGTATGGTAAATCGCTAAATTGAAAATAATCATTTCCTAGAATTCAACAATATGTTTAAACTCTATTTTCTCTTACTGTCTTCTACCAAATGTCACCTTTTCATCTTTTGGTTTCTTATGATGGTTCATGTGGTTTTCCCTCTTTTCGTCTTCCTGTCTTTCTCCTATATGTTTCCTTTACTCCCACCAGACAGACCCTCCTGCCTGCCTCCCACTCATCACCCAGACTAATCCTGTCAATTTCTTTCTTCATATTCTCCCTTAGCTCATCCCATTATGTCCTTCCCTCCAAAACTGTTGTGCTTGCCACCATTAACCGTTCTTCACTGGTTATTCTTCTGTCCAGATTTCTTTTCATGCCTTCTTTGAAGGCCTAATTCAGATGCCTTATTGAACATGACATATTTCTAGTTGTCATGAATGCCAGCTTAGTAAAAGGAAGATTTTTCTACCAAGGCCATGTAGTTGGCAAATTGTTATTAATCAAATTTTGACTCAGCAGATAACTAAGCATAGAGAGGAATGTTGTAGAAGGTATCCCATTATTGGGGCCGTCACTTATGTGACTCTGTGTCACTCTATGTCCCATGCAAAATTTGTTTACCTCATCCACAAAATGCACAAGAATAGCAAAATATGACTTTGAAAGCATAGAGTACAGGCTATATGTATTGAGTAAACAAGTTCTTGGAACTTGTAGCAACAGACCTTCTTCCCAAATGAAACCTCACTCTGAGTCTGAGGTGTACAATCTCCAGCGTACAATACAGGTAATAGGAGAGCTTCTTTAGTTGAAGCAGGAGTTGGGTCTCAAAAGCACATCCCTGTCCCCAACAAAACAAACACTGCAAAGCTTGTTTTAAGAGCCTGCTCTCGATTATTGAGAAAAAGAAAAGGCACGGTGGAAATCGTTTAAGGATGGGGTGTCAGAAAATTAAGTTTTTCGTAGGTTTTTATGAGGAAGGAGAAGCACAGTGAAACCAAGAAGATGGACATGAGTATATACCTTGCTTATGACTTTATCCTTCACTGTCTCTTCAGGATGAAACTTGGAATTATGTGCTTGAGTCTAGCATGTTTGAAGCATGCTCATTTCTGGCATAAGATAAATAAGGCATTTATTGTATTCCTTAAATGTGAAACCTCTTTACCTGAAATTCTTTTATTATCTGCAACCATGAGGATTTCAGATTCAGATATGTAAATTTAGGCACTTTGGGTAAAAATCTTTTAAGAAGTGAAAAATTCATCATCACTGCAATATATGTAATTAATCTGGTATCCGAAAACTTGGATGGAGAGGGTAGATCTTATACCTAACTGAAGTTTAGGCTACAAAGAACATGAGTACCTGTGATTTTTGTCACCAGTAAATTTTGTTGTACATATCTTGAAGTCTTGTTTCCAATCATTACTACTGCTACATCTTCTTATTTGTGCGTTACAAGGAAACATATATAACTCTAATCTCTTGTTCTAACATTCTGATCATTTTAATATAATCTATGTTCTTTTGTGTATTATGTTTATGCATTTATAAATGTTATTCTGCAGAGGGCCTTTGGGTGTTGTGAGAGTGCCAAACAACAAAGATTAAAATGTAATTTAAAAAGAGGGAAGAAACTGGCCTTGTGGAGACTACTTACGTGTCAGACACTACTAGGCAATTTATTTAGCTTATTTAGTTCTCAAACAGGTGTGATTATTTATTGTTCATTGTAGAAAATACCTTACCACTGAAGAAATTAAAACTCAGCAAAGAAAGAGAATTCCCCAAAGTCATATGATCTTAGAGCTCAAGTCTGACATTAGTTAAAGCTTGTGCTCTTTATACTCTGGCATTGTGTATCATTGATATTCTCTTTATAGTGTGTTGTCTCTTAATGAAGAGGAAGAAGTGTGTGTGGGGTGTGTGTGTGTGTACATATATGACTTTTAGAGGTTTACTTCTGCCCTCATTGCCCTAACCTAATTTTGCCAATAAGGGTAAAATCTGACAAACCCCCAGGGGTGTGGTTCAGGTACATTGGAGAGGGAATACTCTTGCAGAAAAGTCTTTCTGAATAATTAAATTACTGAGCCCTTGGCTGGGAGATAAATAATTGGTTAGGAGCTGAGCAAGAGCTGTTTCAGCTGGGTCCTTATATGCAGCCTTGTGATGCTAGTGCCAGATTTTTTGATTCCCACAGGAGGCAGCCTTCTGTGCTGTGATTCTTGCCCTGCTGCTTTTCATCGTGAATGCCTGAACATTGATATCCCTGAAGGAAACTGGTATTGCAATGACTGTAAGGCAGGCAAAAAGCCACATTACAGGGAAATTGTCTGGGTAAAAGTTGGACGATACAGGTAAGTAAGCATGAAGGAGACTGGCATTTAGTTCTTTTACCAGCCTCTGTTTCTTGTGCTTAACTTTTTTTAAAAAATGGTCTGATTAAACAAGGTTCACCCCCTTCCCCATTAATTTCCCATTATAGAAGAAAAAAACTTTGCTTTATGTTTTGCAATTATAGGAATAATATATATCCTCTTGTAGGAACTTAATGAATGAAAACAAACCCATAATCTCACAAACAAGGAAGAGACATCGCTAACATTTTGGCATATTTACTTGCAGACACACCAATACATGCACCTTCAACATAATTCATTAGCCTTATCGTTCTTTGTACCCAGTTTTGTTTCTTGCTTTTTCTTTTTAAAATTATTTTTATTGGATATGGAATGTACAAAAAATATTATAACATGCTTGATTTTAAAGAAACACTTGTGTATGTACCTCCCAGTTAAAAAAAATAGTACTTTACTGGCACTTTGTACTGCATTTTATGTTTTTTATTTCTTTGCCTGGTTATATAGGTTTACCACATGTGTGTTTTGTTCTGTATGTTTTAGATCTTTATATAAAGGAATTGTTGCTGTATTTTCCTGCAGCTTGCTTTTTTCATTCACTGTTAATGCTCATGAGATTTATTATGGTTAGTGCAGTGCTCTAGCTCATTCGTACTTCACTGTTCTACAGTGTTCCTTTATATAGTCATACAGTGTGGTGTAGTTATTTATCCATTCTCACGTTCACGTTTGGACTATCAATATTTTATCAATGTTTCATGGTGTACATGCATGGGAGCTTCTCTAGGCCATTCTCAGGATAGAGTAGCAGGCTCAGGGTTTCCAGCTTTAATAGCTAATGCCAAATTGTCTTCCTAAAAATCGTTGTAGTAGTTTCCTTCTCAAAGGCCAATTTGTATTTCATTGTATAGCGTCTGTCGTTCCCTTACTGTTGAACATTTAAAATTTTTCCAGGTTTTCATTCTTACAGATAATACTTCAGTGGACATTATAGTCATAAAGTTTTGTTCATATCTCTAATTATTTCCTTTTATAGATTCCTTGAAGTAGAACAACAGTCTAAGGGAGTTTGTGTGTGTATATTTGAGCATGTGCGTGAGGGTGGGCATCTTCAGCCTTTCGACCCATATTGCTTGTTTCTTCTCTAGTGAGATTGTAAGAATGCTCTGGATCGGACATTAATGTGGGTTAGAGAGACATTGCTTTTCCTTATTCCTGTCCCAAAAGTAGGATTCTTTTTCGTTCCTTGCAGCCTTCTATAGGTTTCCTTCCTTCTTTTCACCTTTCCCAGATGGTGGCCAGCTGAGATCTGCCATCCTCGAGCTGTACCTTCCAATATTGACAAGATGAGACATGATGTGGGCGAGTTCCCTGTGCTCTTCTTTGGGTCTAATGACTATCTGTGGACTCACCAGGCCCGAGTCTTTC